ACTTTTTTTTTTTAACTTCTGTTGCGTTGAGGACTCTCCTTCATAGGGTCGCTATGAGTCTCCTGCGACTTGATGGCACTTAACAACAACATCCTGTTGTAAATACCTAGGATTTTCCTCACTGCAGACCTAGGCTCCTCGCGGCAGGGATTGGTCTTTTCGCACAGTGGTGACCCAAGCACACAATCTGCACTCAATTAGCGCCTGGAGCCACTGAGGCAGAAAGAGGAGCACTTCCTCGCTGGTGACTCAGGGGCACCGCCTCAGGGCGTACACTTGCTGCTCGTCCTAAGGCCTTATCCGGTGCTTAGAAAGCTAGACTGACCCCTAGGGTCCCCGTCTGGTGGGCATGGGTCTCAAGTGGGAGAGCATTGCCGTTATCACAGGCTGAGGCATACATAGCGCCAGACCTGGGGCAGTTAGAGACACGCCAAGAGGACCGCCCAGGGCTTGGCCTGGCCACGCCTGTCCCGTGGTCATCCACTCATTTCTTAGCAGCCTCTCATTAGAAATGGGGGACTCCGGCTCGATTGTGGGGTGTGGGATTCCCAGGGGTCTGCTCAGGGAGGGAGCTGCCCCAACCCCCACACCAGGCCCAGCTTTGCAGGATGTAGGACACCTGGTCTCTTCTGGGAGGTAATGACACTCTTCTCGTTGGGGCCAGAATGTGGGAAACCTGGAGAGGTCTCATAGGTAGGCTTAGCTGGGGGGACAGGTCCTGGGCAGCAGGCTGGGCGCTTCTGGGAAGGCTAGGGTTGGGCAGGAGGGGGCAGGGGTCTGGGGTAGTGAGATGGGAGGCTGTGGCCGGGACGTGGATGGAGTAGGGCATGACGGTGAGATGATGAGATCGGAAGGCATAGTGATGAGTGATGTTGTGAGTCCCAGTGGCAAGGCGGTGATGTGGGAGGGCTGAACGGTAAAGTGTGGGGGGGGCTTGTGCGAGATCCTGGGGACGGTGCGGTGATGTCATGGAGGCTGGGTGGTGAGGGGCGGGGTGGTGACGTCTGGGGACGTGACCTGATATCTGGGGGCGGGGCGGTGGGGGGGGCGCTGGCGTCTAGGGGGCGGAGCAATGACCCTAAGAGCATGGTGGTGAGGCATGGGTACAGTGACATCCGGGGAGGAGCACTGACGTCCACGGGGCGGGGCGGTGTCGAGTGGTCCCTGTGGCCACTCTCTTGTACCTCCTGGAGCTCATCCTCGAGTTCCATCCTGAATTTCATAGAAAATGCCCTGCCCCTTGTTCCCAGGCTATGGCTCCGGGCCGGCGTGGGGGGCAGTGGCCGCTCTGAGGGGCCTTCTGAGGCCGCGTGCCTGCGCTCCCCCCCCCCCCCCCCCGGAATTCTGTCCAGGGCCTGCCATGGATCCCGTGTGACCACCTCCCCTTCTGGGCCCCGCTGTCGTGCTGACCCTCCAGCCTCTCTCCTGTGGAGGAAGGAGAGGTAATACTGCATTTCACCACTGGCGCCTCTCTGCTGGCCCTTCCTCTTTGTTCTGGAAAGTACTTTGCGCGTGACCTGTTCTGACTTGAGGTCTTGGAGTCCTTAAAGTTGGAGGGATCCAGCATTTGCCCGCTGAGCACACACTTTGTTTGAATTCCTCTGCCTGTGACTTGTCACAGCCGCTAGGTTGGGTAAGTCCCAGTTGTGTCCTGTCACATGTAAATTGGGGACCTGAGCTGAAGCCATCACCAGTGGGGTCCTCACTGGACTAAAGGGGCCCCTGCTTGCTTTATTTTTAGTTCCTAGTAAAATATTACTTAAAACTAGTGAACATATGCGAAACTTTTTCACGTACTGCAAGTAAAAAGAGACTAGTGTTTTTGTAAAAATGTCTCCTTAAAGAAGAAAATTTCTGAGGGAATATATATAGGTAGTTGCAATTTTGAGGGAGTGTGTAGAGCTCTGGGGCCCAGTCTGTTCAGAGCTGAGTTGCTGACAGACACTGGGCCTCACTAGTGACAAATCTGCAGGAAAGTGGACTGCTTTCCCCTTTCAGACGTTCACTGCAGGCAAGCTGAGCCAGCCAGTTCCAACCCACAGCCCTGGATCTGAGCTTTGATTTGTAAATTTGGTTGAGGGTGTGGGGAATGGCTCATGTACAGTAATTTTCTGAGTGAAAATTGGGCTTTTCTTAGTAGATGAGATTTTATGCAAATCAGGAGCTGGTTTGGAAGATGGCATCTATGTGGTTAAGTCCCTGGAAAGCGTCATCCACTGAGGATGTGCATGGCCAGTGTCTTCATGGATTGTCCCTGGAGTGATTTTTCACCTTCTAAAGTCTGTTGTGGATGTTGAAGACCAACTTTCCTAAAAAGAAGACTGGTACATCAAAGGCCAGCAACCATGCAGGTTCTGGGAGTTACATGCTGTGTTTTCCATCCTGAGACAGAACCTGGGTTCTGGGGGCTCCTGTGGTTCAACTTGGGGGCAGAGAAGTATCTCCATCCCCACCCTTAGATCACCCTAGAGTCAGTGGGAGAAGCCCAGCCCAGGAAGGATGTGGGGATCTAAATGCCCCCAGGGCTGTGATAAGCCCACCCAGGAGTGATGTGAGGACCCATGAGCCTTGTTTGTATTAGAATGAAAAAAATAAACATGGATTTAAAAGAATCCCTCTGGTTTGCTTGATGGTGTAAATATATTCTTCTGAATTTAATGGGTTACATACACTGTGAGCATCTGAAAAGCAGTAAGGAAGGTTAGAACCACATCACATTTTAATATGATTAGGGCACACCCTTTGGGGTGTGCCAGGTGTCAGGGTGGTCACTTGGCCTCCCCCTGGGTTGCTGGGCTCTGAGTTCCTGAAAGTCTCTTTCTGGTGTTGGTAGTGACCACACCCTGGGTGCCACTAGAGGCTGGGCAGGTCCACCCACTGCTGGGGTGGAGCTAGAGACTGCTGGTTCCTCCAAGGACGTGTGACTTTGAGTCAGTTCTCTCTGCAGGCAGGTAAGCTAAGAGGTGCCCAGCAATGTGGCTCCCAGGCTGCCAAGGGCACCGCTTTCACAGCTGGGCCTTGAGTGGCAGCATCACACCCACAGGGCCTGGCTGTGCTGGAGGAGACGGGCTTGGCTGAGGACAAGGAGGACGTGTCCGGCTTAGTGGGACAGCAGGGTTGTGGAAAGGAGGGGACATGGGGGCAGAGGTGAGGTGAGAACGTGGAGATAGTGTGGAGGCCGGGCTTAGGACACAGGTTCTAGGGTGAGTGCCAGGTAGGGATACCCAGGGGCCCTCAGCAGCATGTGGAGGACAGCTGTGCAGGGAAGCTGGGAGTCGTGGCAGGTAGGCTGGACCAGTCTGAGGGTGGCCCCTGTCATGAGCACAAACAGTGTCCAGGGCACTGGACTTTAGTTCTGGCATGAGCAGGCCCGCCACAGTGACCTGGCCACCTCCCTGGTGATGGTCCAGGGCTTCATGCTGGACTCTCTGCTCCCCCCATGGTGACTGACACAGAAAGTGCGGGTTGCATGGCAGTTCCCCTCCTGCTCCCCCTCCACAGGCCCTCAACAGGAAGCAGGCAGGGCTTACTCGAGCAGGGTGGTGGTGGTGGTGGTGGGGACCTGGGGTGTATGTGTATGTGGCTTCTGAACTTTCTGTGCCAGGCAGTACTGGAGAGGGGCTGCCCCCATTCTCTACTCTCTGTGCCTGCTGGACACAAGGTGTTCTCTGCGGCCCGTCTGTCCCCAGCCCAGCTGAGCTGGGACCCTAGAATGATGTCCTGTTCTTAGACTTGCCAGCTCTTCTCAGACCCTCCATGGGACTCCTCTCTCAAGTCCCTCCAGGCGACCTGCCTGTGTCCCACCTGACTCCCATCCTGAAGCCCCAGGTCACAGCCTGGGTGGTGTAAGGTTGTTCAGTCCTGTGCCCCGCTGAAGGCCCCCACTGTCCCACTGTGGGGACAGGTCAGATAGGGGGATAACAGAGGGAATAGGGGATGATGGAGGGATGAGACAAGGACAAGATGTGGGATAGGAGAGGACAGGTAGGGGTGTGGTGTGGTGGGCACAGGGTTCGTAGAGGGGCCACCATGGCTTCACCTTCTCTCACCACTAGGGTTTTTAGTCTGTCTTTTGCCCTGGTGCCTGCCAGGTGACAAGTCAGGTGACCTTTCTAAAGGGCAGCTCTGATGCTGTCACACCTAGTGGATGTGTGCTCTGGGCTAGCTGTTGCTTTTGGAAAAGACCCAGTCTCTGCCGGCCCCTGGTTCCATCTCCTGCCCATTGGCTCAGGAGATATGGACGCTGAGGTCACCGGGGACCAGGCCCCCATGCCTCTGTGGCTGATCTGAGGCTGATGTGGGGCCAGGGAGACAGCTTTTCCCTTCAGCTTCTAGGATCCCAAGTGGTGTGCCCTTGGGAATATGGGCCCTCACTTGAGAAGTGGGGCCTTGGCAGGTGGGCCCAGAGTTCCTGGCTCCCATACCCTGAGGCCTCATGAGCTAGGTTCCTGTGTGGAGCTCCAGGGTCAGGAGGTTGGCCTCTCTGAGCTCACTGCTCATTCCAGCAAGGACTCAGGGCCCAAGGCCAGCCTCCTTCCTGCTCACCAGCCCAGGGCCCACATAATTCCAGGTTTGGCCTCATCTATCCTTTCCTCGCCAGTCCAGTGCCCACAGGAGCTTTAGGTCCACTATCCTGCCTGCTTGCAGGTAGTAAGTCCTCAGGTCAGACTGTGGGGCTCATGGTCCTTCAGCCCAAGGCTACCAGCTCTACACAGACCTCCAGCTCAAGTCTCCCACAGCCCTGACCATGTCCTGCTGCCGCTCAGATGGATGAGGCCGGGCTTCACTGTCCACAGCTGGCCTCCTGAGTGGGAGGCTAGAAGAGGGCAAGGCCCATGGGTCCCGAGTCCTGGACCCCATCCTCCAGGACCATGGGGGCCAGGATAGCAGCAATGCCAGCACTTGTCGGGATGGGCTTCTGATGCACTGGTGGTGCCAGTGCCCAGGAGCTATGGATACAGCCTCTCTCCCTCCACACAGTGCCCCCATTGTACGTCACCATGAACCTCGATCTCCAGTGTGAACAACTGAGTGATGCCCGGCTGGCGGAGCTTCTGCCCCAGATCCAGCAGGCTGAGGTCCTCAGGTAGATGGGGGGGCTGATGTCCTGAGGTAGGTTGGGGGGACGGGCTGACGTCCTCAGGTGGGGGTGTGGGGAGGCAAAGTGACATCCTGAGGTAGGTTGGGGGGACGGGCTGACATCCTTAGGTAGATGTGTGGGAGGGCAGGCTGATATCCTGAGGTAGGTGGAGGGGCGGGGGGCGGGCTGAGGTCCTCAGGCAGGGTGGAAGGGTAGGCTGACCTGGGGTGCTGTCGTTCACAATCACTCAACGCCATGTCCCCCACAGCTTTGAATCCCTACCAGTAGTCCTCCATGAGCAGGTCCTTGTCATTGACCTTGGTGTAGTCTGTCCTGTAGGGAGGGGAGGGTACTGGACTGTGTCCACAGAAGGTTCTGGATGAGCTAGACTCTTCCTGTTCCATTTTGAAGACACGCACTGACACCCCTTTGTTGGTGTCCTGTCACGGGTGGCCAGGCTATGCTCAGTGAGTCCTCGTCCATAGGCTGGAGGACTGTGACCTCACGGCAGCCCAGTGCCGGGCCCTCATCTCCGCCCTCCAGGCCAACCCCTCACTGACTGAGCTGAGCCTGCGCAACAATGAGCTGGGTGACACAGGTGTCCACCTCGTGCTGCAGGGCCTGCAGGGCCCTGCATGCAAGATCCGCAAACTGAGGTGAGTGCTGCGTGTCCATGGGGAGGGCTGGGGCCCGGGGGGACAGCCAGGATGAGGGGACCAGCTGGGGGAGGGGGACAGCCCAGGGAAGGGATGGCCAGGAAGGAAGGTGTCTGGGAGGGCGGACAGCTTGATTGGGGAGGTAATAGCTAGGAGGAGATGGCTGTGGGGGTGAACAGCTGGAGTTGAGAGATAAAAGCTGGTGGTGGGGGGTTGTGGGGGTCCAGCCGGGGCAAGCTTATCTTTGTCCACGCAGACAGGCAGCTAGGAGAACTGTGCTCATCCACATAGCTCACTGCACTGCCCTGGGGACCCCAGCACTGTAGGGGGTCCTGGGTTGACTCTTACCACCACCCCCAGCCTACAGAACTGCTCTCTAACGGAGGCCGGTTGCCAGGTGCTGCCCATGGCACTGCCCTCACTGCCCAGTCTACTCGAGCTGAATCTGGAAGA